TAATTGAAGGGATTTTAATTACAGGTAGGCCTAAACACTTGATTTCACTAGTAGGTTTCCTCTACATTGCAGGTATTCCAGGTCCTAGGTCCTGTAGATCAGTTTTATGACATCAAAAAATATATTTGCTAGCTATCATTGTCAAAAGCTCTGTTCTATAATTGGAAGCTATGATACAATGCAATAACACACTCTGATTGGTCAAGTAGTTTTGCTTGACTGCCATTTTGAAATATTCATTCAATGAATGTGTGAATGAATGAGATAAAATGAATAATCATATAATTTCTAACATGAGAACGCACTATAGTACACTACCTTTTACAATATTTTAACTGTTGCAGGGTTTGGTGTGGAGGCTTAAGGAGGGGTCGGTTAACTTCTATGTTCATTTATCAAAAATATTAAATCTTATGGGAATCATAATTAACGTAATTAATTGATATTTTTATTATGATATCCATATTTTTGGATGAAATAATATGACATTGTATGGGATCATAAAATATGTATATACTTGTTATATATAAAATATGATACCCATGTTTTTTGATAAATATGAAATGGTATAGTCATAATGTATATAATTGATATTATATAACTGATATATAATTAAAATGTTATATGATTGTAGTAAATGACCTATACAAAATTGTTCACATCAAAAGCCTTGTTTACATGGCAGGAGATCACCGTGATGATCGCGTTTATCCGTTGATATAGGTGTTACTTGGCCGTGTAAACGGAGTTAGTAACTCTGCTTAACGGATCAGTAACCGCGACAATCTATGCGTGATCTTTATGCAAATTAGCTGTTGTTTGACCTGTGTGAGTCATTGCTGGAAGTCGCTGTTGATAAACAGCGTGAAGACCATTGTTATTATTTGAAAAATTATGTTTTATCAATTACATACATTTTTTAACTTTTTTGACAAGCAGCAATGCATGCATTTTTTCGGGTCATTTGTAAGCATATGACTTCCTGGTACAACCGATAATTTTTTATCGTGTAGGCGCGCGACTGGAGATCATCGGTGTTACCTATCTGATAGCAAACGGCCATGTAAACAAGGCTAACAAATATTTATAAGGCCTTGATTCAGGCACAACAGAGAACCTTGTGAATACCCCTTAAGGGTATGTCTGCTCTACCATGGTACACAATGGAAAGACTCTAGGTAGCTTAAGTGCATCTGGGAAATACTCCTACAGAGTCAGGTGTACCATAAGCACACACCGGTTACTTGACAATGGCTTGGTTCCCCATCTTGTAGGAGCACTGCTGGGGCGCAAAGAAATGGCAGCCTCCCACTCCACACTCAATTTTTGTCAAAAAAACTGATTAGATTCTCAAGAAGTAAAATTTGTCATTTGAGGGGGTGGTTTTAGGAAACTTTTTGTTTATACCCTATGTTAGTTTTAGTGTTCTTTCAAGCAATAATAATTACATTCTATTATATTAAATTAGCAATAATAATAATAATATTTATTATTATTACTACTGATAAAAAAAAGGATTAAATTGATTTTCTTAATAAATTTCAGTTGGGAGACAAGTGCTGAAGCTGAGCAAATAGCATTTGACTTTAGTTTCAGCATTTTGTGTCTTAATATTTGTCTCTGTCACTCTTTCTTGTGTAAAATTAATTTATTTCATATTAGACCAAAAAAAATTGTTCCCCAAGCCTGACGTAACAAAAATCTCAATAAATCTGGGTCTGCTTTTTTTTGGTAAAAATATTACTATATTTATATACAAATAGGAGCCCGCCCTGCATGTATAGTATTTTTTTGGGAAGTTTCCTTTAATTAATACTGTGGCGGATCCAGGAATTCAAAATAAAGGGGGGGGGGCCAGACAGGAAGGGACTTCCACAGATGGAGGGTCAAGACCACCTCAACCCCACAGGTTGGGGCTGAGGTAAGAAAATTTATGATTATGGCAGGAATTTGCACACTTGGATTTAAATTTGAGTGATTTTCTTTTTTTACTGTATTTTGCCATTGTAAAATTTTTTTGTAATTCAGGAGATGTCTGGTCCAGCTGCCCTCCCCCCCCCCCAATCCTGAATCCGCCACTGTAATAAATTTTATAGCTTAGCCATGGATTTACAGTTGAACTTGCCTAAGTCGAAATCCAAAATGCCATTGAAAAATTCGCCTTGGATAAAATTTGAATTTACAGATTGTTAATTAATGGAACACACAACAATTTAGGATGTAAAATAAGTTCGACTTGGAAATTATTCAAGTTAGGTGAAGTCGATTTAGGCAAGTTTAACCAAGGACTTTTAACTGTTTAACCACGATAGGAAGCTGGCTGGTTTAAGCCGTCTAACTGGAATTAGCCTTATGTGTGGTATTGTTATGCTAATGAGCTAGCTAAGCACAATCTGCACATGCTCAGAAAAACAAAACTTTCCTTAGCCACAACGCGTATCGGCTAGTCGTACAACTAGGCCTAGCAGAGAATTACGGTATGGTAAAACAAAGCAAAATAAGGGTACTAATTTCACTTGGCATGCAAATCAATCATACTTCACACTTAAAAACAAACTAATCTACCAATAAAAATCACATACTAGTTAAGATATAAGGCAAGTATGTTCACAAATTGTTTAAATAACATGAGGTCAAGAATTTAGCCTCAAAGCTTAACTTATTTTCGGTGGTTACGCACCACTGATTTGTGTTGTTTGTCATCTCTTCAAGATGTCTACCGATTCTTGGAAAAGGTGTATTAAAATAAAAAATGTTGGCGTTTTTGAGGAATACATTTTAATTTTATATAGGTAGGTAGTAAGTGTATGAATAATTTTAATGCACTAGTTAGTTGATAACTTCATTCTGATTTGTTTTGGGTCTTTTTTCTGCATTTTTATAAGCAGTTAGACATGGCCTAGGCTAGCCTATGTGATGTTCGTTGTAATACTACAAAACAAAATCACATCAATTTAAAAAAAAAAATTGTGAATATACTTATTGGTAGATTAGTTTGTTTTTAAGTGTGTAAGTATGATTGATTTGCATGCCAAGTGAAATTAGCACGCTTATTTTGCTTTGTTTTACCAAGCCTGGTATTATATACTATAATACCTCCATGGTTTTACCGTACCATAATTCTCGGCTAGGCCTATCTGTACGCCTAGCCAATACGCAGTGTGGCTAAAGAAAGTTTTGTTTTTCTGAGCATGTGCAGATTGTGCTTATCTGGCTCATTAGCATAACAATACCGCACATAAGGCTAATTCAAGTTAGACGGCTTAAACCTGCCAGCTTCCTATCCTGGTAACAGTTAAAAGTCCTTGGTTTAACTGCAGTCCTGTTTGAGGTGAGTAATGGTTGGCTATGAACCTTAGAATTAGACCTCTTCTGTAGTAATAAACAAAAATTAATAAATTACTGACTGATTACCTAATGTCACATGCTTGGGGAACACAACATTTTTTTAGCCTCGAGTCTATACCAGGGGTTCTCTATATTATGACCAGTACTGATTATGACAGGGGCCTTTGTAAATTGAATCAATTTGGATCATGCATAGTCTTGAAGCCACTCGGGGTCTAGAGGGGGGTGTGGAACTCCTACATGAAAATTGATTTTGTCAATGTACATAGTGCAAAATGATGTAATAATAGTGGCTTTACTTTTATTTGGTATTTCTGAGCTAATTTACTCAACATATTACTAATAGCTGTCTGTAAATGGGGTTGAGCCAGAACACGTTTTCAAATTTAGTTGCTATTTGCTGTGATATTTCTTCCATTTTTATTGATTACAAACCGTTATTTATGAAATTATAAGCATTGCTGTTAAAAAAAAGAAAAAGCAAAATCTATGGTTAGAAAAATATTTTTTTAGGTTTGTGGCCAGATAACATGCACTCGCGGACCCGAAATGGCCGCCAGTTGAAAACCCCGGGTTTATACCAGTTGTTAAGAGCATTTTTCCTTTTTGCTATGACCAAATACCCTCAAATTGTTTTATTACACTTTTTCTGTCTTTATTTGCTTTTTAATTATATCTTGCAGTTATCTGTTATAGGTAAAGATGTACTGTCTAGGTTGAACATATTAATTTTAACAATGTCAATATTTTAAATTCTTACCTTATTTATAAATTAGAATGTTTTCTTCATCACCTTTACATAAACATTCATCGCATTAGATCTTAAAGGCGAGACTTTTTATACCTTATATTTCGCAAAATTATTTTTTTAAAAGGTTGTCAGAGAAATGCAGGAAAAATTAAAAATTAAATTTTATTGGTGAATATAAACAGTGTAGTAATGGTTAAATTCTTTAAATTAATTTAATTAGTATATTTCAAGCCTTCAGCGGGCGTAATAACAATAAGGAAAAACTTATTTTTTTCAAAAATTTCCATTTTTCGTGGCGGCAGGTGCGCTAATTGCCTAAAAGTTAAATTGTACTTTTATTCGAAATCATCATTATTGGCGGGCGACAGATTTTTGCCAAATAAGGTATAAAAAATATCTCGCCTAAATTTTCTAGTAATCAATTTAAAGATTAGTAAAAGGTATGTTATCATTAAAAAACTAACTTATTTTGGTTTGTCTCATACAAAATAGAAAACTTATTTGAATTTTTCGAATATTTTAACATAGGCATTACCTGAGACAACTATATTATTATATAGCTGTCTCGGGCATTGTATATTTTGTAAATGTGCATTGTTTATCCTCTTCAGAATGGTGTAAGATTACTCAACAATGATTTTTTGCATTGTAACAGTATTCCTTTATCATATTGTGGAGGGATATTTTACATTTTTATTGTACTGACCACCCATCATTATTTTTTAAAGCAATGTGTTTTTTGGTTTTTTTTTATTATTAAAACCATCTATGTACCTTAGAATGTTATATAAAATATACTAAAAACCCAGGTAAGTACAATTTGTTTATGTAAAAATATTTAAAAAGCTAAACATCTATACTAAATCTTACTAAATGTGTTCCTGGCATTGTCTTTCCATAGGTTACATTGATGCTTCTCGACCAAGAAACTGCTCGCCGCCATCTGTCCGACTCATTCCGCCCGGATCCAGCGAGCAGCAGTTTCAAGCGCCCTGCTACAGACATGAATATTGCATCTGGCTGCCCACTATTTGTGGCACAGTCTGTATTGCAAGACAGTATCTACGTGAAAGATGATACGGTTTTTTTCAAAATAATTGTCGATACTTCCGATTTGTTCGTGTAGACCTTGTTATGGACGGTGTGACAAAAAAAGGTAATCTACTTGGAATTTATGGATTCAAATACAAAGATTTTCGAGTTCACTTGGTAAGTATCATAGAATTTGAATCTATAAGATTTCAGTGGATTGAACCATTTTGGTTATCTACATGTGATGCTAATAATATTGGATATTATATGATATTTATTTATGATGATTTTCCAAATTATTATCAAGAGCGAATTACTTGACGTTTTGTCAACATTTTACTAGGAAAAGAGAAGTGACAGTAGAAATGTAAATTATACAATAGAAATACAAATTTTTTTTCTGGTAGATGTACATAAGTAGAGTAGAAAAAATAGTTATTTACTAAGCTAAATTGCTTATCTTGAAGGATCATATAAGTTACAAACATTTCATTAATGAAATAAAAAAAAAATCATTCTTAAAACTTTTTCCTCTGCTATTTTATTGAGGAATAAATTCTAATTTTATAGAATTCATTAATAAATAATATCTATAAATTCTAATCTATAACAACATATGTATCACTCAAACAGTTAACGATTAATATTACAGTAACCTACACCACACAATACAAAATAATAGGCACTAGATGTGTATAAGAGAGATATATATATATATATATATATATATATATATATGCCAGAAAAAGGCATTGTTAATCCACAAATTAAAAAACAAAAATAGATGATGGTGGTGTGGCTTTGGTGGTGGTAGATGATGGTGGTGTGGCTTTGGTGATGGTGATGATAATGAAGATGACAAAGATAATGATGGTCATTAATAATGAAGTGGAGTTGAATACCTTGGTGGATGCTTGCCTTCCCATCTCAGGGTCCTGGGTTCAATTCCTGTCAGTGCAGGATTTTTTCTCACGACCAAAACAACTCCACTCCCTAAAACTCATATTGAGATTTAGTTTGTGTAAAGCATCATGTGTGTATGTTCGTCTTGTGCAAAGGATTGTCACCTACAAGTAGGATAGTGATATTCGCTATTGACAATCCGTGGCGCATGTGCTGTGCTCCTAAATAAATAATAAAAAATATATAAAAAAGTATGATGGTGATTGTAGTGAATAACTAATAGAAATAAAATAATAAATAATAATGATAAATCATTTTTTAACCTTCCAACCTATTTGTTATTGTTACTTTACATTTTTTTTATTTATTTTTTATTTCAACCATCTTTAAAGAGGGTAACCCTTCCAGTTTAGCCCAGTAGGTTAACTGATATTCAGGGGCCCTCTTTAATAAAATAAAAAAAACAGTACAAACAACATCATTACAACATAATAATAATAATAACAATAATAATAATAATAACTCCAAAAAAAATAAACAACTTTATTATTAAATTTAGGGTAAATATTCATGTTTTTTTAATTCCATTTTATTGTAATTTAATGTTTATAGCATCCTGATAGTTTCTTTGTTTTGAATTTATTACATAAATTTGATGTAATTGTTTTTGTTTAAAATTTTTAAATTGAAATACACTTGTGTGGTCCTTCAAAATGAGCAATTGAATGTTCTGATTGTTAAGTAAGAATTTAAAGAATATTCATCACAATACTATGCTTATACTGAATATATAAAATGTATATCAAGAAAAGTGCTCAATGTATTGTTTGCCTAATGGATTCTTTTACAATTCATATTACATGTAAAAAATGAATTATTACATTAAAATAAAAATGGATAAATGGAAAGAAGTGAATGAAGGAATGATAACAAAAGAATACAACCATTATTTTTACCTAAAATGCTTAAATGATTATTTACGGGACATTGTGCAAACTGTCATAGTGCAATATAATGCTGGTGCTATATATATAATATGTATTTCTCATTGTAAAATTATATTTATATTATGACTTATGTATATAGATATTATATTTTCTTAATTCTATTATTCTACCCTAAAATTTTTAAAGACCAAGAAACATCCACCCACCTACCCCTCACTCACTTCTCCCCACTCCCCCTCCTACTCCCTCTTACTCTTCTTCCTGCCCCTGAAGTCTTCTTTTTAAATAACCAATTAATCAGTGAGAATCTTGGATGTTGATATGTAGTAACTGTTTTAGATTGAATTGGAAACAGTATTATACCAGAGGGAATCAAATTATATAGCATTGAATTGCAATGTAATATGAAATAATATACTTTTTTCTTATTTATTTATATATTTATTTATTTATTTATATATAGTTTATATAGTGAACATAAATTCCCAGAAATAATTAATCAAGGTGCTTTTTTCATGGAATGAATCATTCGCAATGTGCAACCTCCTTTGCTCCCTGGGAAGTATTCCTAGTTATGTGTGCAATTCAACAATCTTTTTACCAGGTACCATGGATGAAATCCTCTATGCAGGTGAGTGGATTTCCCACACGATTAAGAATCTTAATGGTTCTAGGTTTGGTCAGCAGGAGTTCATGCTTCAAACAGGTCATTCCAGAGTTAGTTACAACCTGGGCAAATCTTGCTATAAAAGGTACACTTTCCCCAACGTTACAAATGTAATTGTGCGGGAAATCCACTCATGATGCATTTATTGACTCAAACTTGATTGAAAGAAAAGGAATTAACGTTGAGCTATCTTCCACTGTACATATTTTAGATTTTTTTACAGTAATATTATATTTGTTAATTATAAACATCATATTCATTGAAATAAAAATAAGTATACCGTAGTTCTTTGGGTATAAGCCCACGTACTACTTTACACCAAATTTTACATACCAACCTCTCCTCAGGCAGAAACCCAGGAGAGGATTTGAGTGAGTGGCGTAGCTGACTTTTACAAATACTTTCAGAAAAAAAAAATCAAATATTGGCTTTGAATTTGGCATGCAGTACCGAAATTTTGGACTTTTGATTGAAAAGGGGATTTTCTGCAAATAAGCTCTTAAAATTGCATTAAAATTGGCCTAATTTTGTGTGTTTTTTGGGGTGGGAGGGGGGTGTGGACTCATACCAAAGGAACTACAGTAATTATTCTCAATTTAATTTTAGCTTTTCAAGATATAATTTTATTTTATGTTATTTATTATTTAGGCTCAAAGATTGCCAATAGCGAAATTAATCACTGTCTTTCTCATAGGTGGCAATCCCTTAAAAAAAAAAAAAATACTGTACATACTGGATGCTCTACATAAACTAAGCCTCAAAGGCTTAGGGAGTGCAGTTGTCTTTAGTCATGTGAAACAAATCCTGTTTAACTATGACAGGAATTGAACCCAAAACCCCGGGATTGGGAGCCAAATATCTTAAACACCAGGCTAGAACCCCACTTCAATCTTGACTATTCTTTCAAATTTCATCAACTTTATCATTAATTAAACTATAATGATTCTGCAGTCGGCTGAACTGATTGTAGCTACTCTGTTTGTATTCAGTTGGAAGGCTCATTCCATTTACATGCTCTATGTATGTTTCGGCTGGAGGGCTGAAAATAAAAAGGCATTTTCAGGAGCACACCGTCTTTTGGATGATGTGTTAGGCCCTTGGTCCTGTGCACGATAAAAAACACAGCGCACTTCCTGGAAAGGAGTAGGGGATTGTCTCCCAGTTTACTGCCCAATTCTCCACCAAAAGTACCCTGTTTGAAATAATTCTCTGAACTTTTTTATGTGATATTCTTGGTGTATCTGACACCGAATAATCCAATCCAAATCCAGTCATTCTAGTGTTTCTCATTTTCAGTCTTGTTCTTTATGTATCCTTCCTTTTTTTTCTGAGGAAGCTAGTATAATTAGTACTAGTGATTTTTTATATTAGCTTTGGGGAGCAAAATCAGTCCCAAAGAATATATGCTGATTTCACTGAACTAAATTAAAAACCTCAAATTGATATTTATTAATTCTGAAATTAGATGTTTGTAACAATTGTGGATTCTGAACAAACATTGAGTTGACTGAACAAACATCAACTTCGTTTCTGAATGTTTATATCTGAATTTTGATTTTGAGGCCTAGCAGTGAAATCCTCTGTAGTATGGTTTAATGTAATGTTTTAGGAAAGGTGTATAGAACTGAGAGAAAAGAAATAGTGTTTGTAGGAAAGACTGATTAGATATTGGGATATGTTTGCATTCAACCTTGCCGTGGTGCTCCCTCTTAATCACTTATCTACTAAACAAACCAAAGTGTTTGCTGCTGTCAAATTTTAAAAACATTTCAAAAGCAGCTTAAGTGAAACCAATTGAATGCAAAAACTTTAAATCTCTTTCAACCTGTATCTCTTTGCTTCAATGATTCCACTCGTGAGTGGTGAATCATTGACTTTGTATCATGCATCCCTATTTCTGACAATAACTTTAGTTCTCTTTCCATCATCATCATCTACTTCCAGCTTAAATGATGCTAATCTGTGAATGGTGGGTCATTGATTCTCATCAAGCTTCTTTATTCTTGACATCATCTTTAATTCTCGTTCAATATATATATCCTCCTTTGCTTTCTTGTATCGTGCATCCCTATTCCTGACATCATATTTAATTCACTTTGAATCTCTATCTCCTCCTTGCTTCAATGATACCACTCTGTGAAATGTGAATCATTCGCTTCTCATCAAGCCTCAATATTCCTGACATCATCTTTAATTCTCTTTCAATCTTATCCCCTCCATTCTTCACTCTGTGAGTGGTGAATCATTCGCTTTCTATCATGCATCCCTATTCCTGACATCATCTTTGATTCTCCTTCAATGTTTATCTCCTTGCTTCAATGACACCACTCTGGGAGAGGTGAAATCATTTACTTTGCATCATGCATCTTTGTTCCTGACATCATCTTTAATTCTCTTTCAATATTTATCTCGTCCTTGCTTCAATGAGTGGGGAATCATTCATATTGTATCATGCTTCCCTATTATCTTTCTCTTTAACACTTCACATGGAATGTTCTGTACATTTCCATTGATTCAAATACACACCACCACATGGAATACACATCCTCATGCATCTATACACATCTACAGATTCAAGCACATTCCTCATTGAATCCAAATTTCCATTGATTCAAATACAAATATGAACGTCCGCGGTTTCGTTTTCTTTGAAAGACAGTTTGAATTATTATTATTGTTGTTGTTGTTGTTGCTACCATTAATGTTTAACATCTACAAGCCTCTTTAAAATGTTGAATTCACCAGCTGAACATGCCAGTGAGCCTAAAACTTGTGCTAACAAAGTAATATAATAATATAAAGTGGTTTTTTTTATCAACTTTTCCAAACAAACTTTTAACAAATACATTGCTGAATGCAAACGGTAGTAATATATACAGTCAGCGCATTTTTTTAAATATTTTGATGTGATTATACTAAATATATACATGGTTGGAAATAAAGATCTCTGTAGTCCAAAGGCAGGACCCCGAGGTTCCTATCGGTAGTCCAGGTTCAAATCCTGGGAGAGTTCCTTATATTACAATCATTATATTAAGCAATTTTAAAATTCTTGTGCAGGAAAAAAAGAACCTTATTCATCAGATGTACTGTTCTGGTTGAATGCAATCCCCTTTTGTTCTGTAATGGCTAACTTAGACTTTGACAGCATTGTACGATGCAGCTCGATTTGT